AAAGTCAGGAAGAAAGAAGGGAAGAAGAAAGGAAGGAAGGAAGGAGGGAGCGCAAAGAATAAAGAAGTGCATCAATTTGAGGGGTGCCTTGGTATTGCTAGTTAGTATTCGGCAATTTTAAATTGATCCTCAAATTAATTTTGAGATTGGTTGTTGAAGAAAAATTATAATTTTGGTTGGACCTAAAGTCGCACGATTTAATTTTCTTCACAGTCCGAGTCGCGGCCTTGTGTGCTTGCGAACTTGTTCGACTGTGTAATCTACTGACTCGCGCAACAAAGGGTTGTTATGCGATTCTGCTTGACTATAACGTAGCTGCGCTTGTTGTTTGATGTAGTCCCTTATGTAAGGGATGTCAAGGTCTCTGTGAAGGGTCTCGTTGGAAACATACCATGGGGTGTTAGTGACTGTACGCAAGGTTCTGTTCTGCAAAACCTGCAGGCTACGCAATTGCGTTTTGGCGAGAAAACACCAAGCCGCACTTGCGTAAGTGATCGCTGGTCTAATAACCATCTTGTATAGCCGAACTTTGTTGATCAAACTTAAGTTTGATGATCTACATAGTATAGGGTAGAGTTGCCGAAACGAGATTTGGAATTTAATTTTTAACGCTTCAGTGTGCTTCCGCCAGGTTATTCCCTTGTCAAGAGTGACACCGAGATACTTAGCAGAGCTTTCCCACGGTACCCGAGCTCCATTCACTGAAACCTCAGACGGGCGCCGCTACGTTTTTTAGTACAATAGATTGCCTGCGTTTTCGAATGATTAATTTTGATCAGCCACCGATTCGCCCATTCCAATAACCTCGTCCACTACACTTTGCAGCCTGTCGTGAACTAGATCCCCAGAGCACGACTGGGCCACCAGGGCAGTGTCATCAGCTTAGAGATAGGTTTCACAGCTGCTGGGGCAAGGGACGTCGTGAATAAAAAGTGAATAAAGGACTGGTCCAAGAACCGAACCCTGAGGGACACCGGCTTTGATGGGCCGTGGTGTCGACAGAACGTTATTAATTTTGATCCGAAATTTCCTACCCTCGAGAAAGGATTTCAAAAGTTTTAGGAACCAGAAGGGGAAGCCCTTATGGATCAATTTGTAGAGAAGGCCCTTGTGCCACACCTTGTCAAATGCCTTTGAAACATCCAGAAGCAAGATGCCAGTACTTTCGTTACGGATGAACCCCCTGGTTACTCGTTCAACAAGCCTTATGGCCTGTAGCTCCGTACTATGCTCAGACCGAAAGCCAAATTGCACGTCAGGAATCACATTGTGGTCTGCCGAGAAATTTTCAAGGTGACGTAGAATCGCCTTTTGAGCGAGTTTAGAAGGAGCTGACAGTAGGCTAATGGGGCAGTAATCCTGGAAGAATATCGAACCCACCTTCTTTGGAATCATTATGACATCAGCGGTCTTCTACGCCGCTGGGAAGTGCTGGGCATTGATTATTGCCACGAGATAAGTTAAGGACTTCCGCGAAAGTAGCTTCAGCGCCTTATTAGTGATTCGATCCTCTTCAGGTGCTTTACGCACCTTGAGGTCTTTAATATGACCTTGGAGCTCTGCTGGTGTGCAATCAGGAGATTCCGCTGATGTGCCGTGCAGTTTTTCAATTGAGGAATCTTCTGAAGATTCCTCTGAGGAAAAATCACTAAGGGAGGCACTACTGCCACTGACGCCGTTGGTCCTAAAATATCTCCTGACGGATCTTACAATATGTTGATCCTCGTCGAGGTCATTATCAAGGTCATAGTTGGGAGAGAACTGACTTTGCATCAGCGAAAACCTCGACCTTTTCCTCTGTCCTACAGACTATGCCCCTAGGACAGTGGATGTGCGGGAGTTGTTCTCGCTTTCCGTTTCTCAGCGACTTTGCAACTTTCCAGAGAGGAATACTTGAGTCAAGCATCCCCGACAGAAAGTTGCTTCATTGCTCATTACGGAATTCATGAAGAGCATTTCTCACTTCATGAACAAGATTCGTTGCTCTGTGAATGTCATCTGGGTGACAAGACCTCTTCGCTTGCTTAACTGCAGCTCTTTTGTCAGAAATTTTTTGACTAATGTCGGCAGGGAGACTCAATGGCCATTTTATAGCGCTCATTTCTTGACAGATAAGGTCAATGATGTCCATTATTGCCAAGTTGTACCTTTTTTGGGAGAAATACGTAATTAGAAATTAAATTATTTGCAAAATAAAAGTCTTAATTTATTGTAAATGGCTTGTTTTATGAAAAGTTGTCCCAATATTTACCGAAAACTAGATGAAATTTTGAACAGTATGTGTCTAAACAGTGGAAAATGCACCAGCGGCTTGCGTGACATAAAAAATACAAAAGGCACCAGCGGTCATTGCATATAAAAATACCCAACGACGATTCGTCGATTTGGACCACCTCGCCAGGTCCACCCAGCATATCATCGTCCAACATTATAGTTAAATAAAGATCAACGATCATTTTATCAAATCATCAAAATACTTGTAATGTTCTTTGCTATGATTTCATTATTTAGTGATTTGCAACAGCTACTTTTTCAGTTATTTCTCATATACAGGGTGTCCCAGAAGTCGACGTCAAGCCGAAACCGGGTGATAGGCAAAGTCATAACAGCTATCAGAAAAATATTTAAAAAAAATTTATGTATGTGTTTTGAAAATTATAGGTCTTTGAAAAAGATATAGAAATTTCACACCCTACGGCAGTCTGTCAACTCCTGTTACTACAAATATTAACTTTTTTTGGATTTTATTTTTACAATGTAATGATGAATAATGCATTTTCAAACTGGTGTCTCAACCTTACTGTCAACTTTTCTCGTTCAGGAAAAATTGCCACTTATTTCCCAACCAAGTATTCCAAAGTAAAACTTTGCTCAACTTTAACTGGCTGTACTGGAAAAAAATGTACTACGAGAGTTTGGCAAGTAACCTTAAAAGTTAGCGCATTTAATAACGATTCCAAAATGGTATAACACTTAGAAGATTACTCGTTAACTTATGCACAATTTTTATTTGAAAAAAAACTGATGAAAATTTTTCAAATTTTCCTAATTAAACAGCGATTATGAAAACGCACAAGGACCCTTAAGGATAACTGTTTGCACAACAGTGGGCGTCAAAATGCTGCTGATGATGATTTACCTTTACAGCAAATGCTCAAACTGTTTTCCTTCAGCCGCAATACACGCTCGACATCTTCTTAAAAAAGATCGAGTTATTAAACGAGCGAATCCACGGTTATTAACAAACTCAGCTGCTTCCAATAGTCTTTGCCGTAGCTCAGCTACATTTTGAATCGGCTTGAAATACACTTTTTCTTTTACAGTTCCCCAGTAAAAAAAATCTAACGGATTCAAATCTGGTGACCGGGCTGGCCACGGTATTGTACCAGACCGCCCTATCCATCTGACTGGAAAGTTTTGATCGAGATACTCTCTCACTGAGAGTGCATAGTGCGCTGGGCAGCCATCATGCTGAAACCACATGTCCCTGTAAATACTCAGTGGCACGTCCTCCAATAAATTTTCTAAACGATTTTGCAAAAAACCTAAATAAACCTCAGCAGTCAAAGTCTCTGGGAACTCAAACGGACCGACTATTTTACCATTTAAAATTCCTGTCCAATGGTTTATCTTGAAACGATATTGAGATTTATCTTCTCTCATCAAATGTGGGTTTGCTACGTGCCACTCGTGTAAGTTATGCAGGTTCATGTACCCATCATTCTTAAATGTGGTCTCATCTGACCATAAAATTTTTTCAAAGAACCGTGGATCTTCCCTGTGTCTTTCTAACATTGTGCGACAAAAAGCAACTCGGGGCTCATAATCCCGGGGCAGAAGAGCTTGAACACGCTGTACGTGGTATGGATGGAGCACGTTTTTTTGCAAGATTCTATGGGCTGTACTTTTGGGCACACCTGTTTTTAGTTCTATTGCACGCCGTAGGGTGTGAAGTTTCTATATTTTTTTCAAAGACCTATAATTTTCAAAACACATACATACAATTTTTTTAAATATTTTTCTGATAGCTGTTATGACTTTGCCTATCACCCGGTTTCGGCTTGACGTCGACTTCTGGGACACCCTGTATATCACATTCAATTAGGTACATTGTGTAACATCAGCTTCACTTTAAATAATTCTTCAAGTACATACATACAAAAAGTAAATAGATTATAACTATAATATAGAAAAACAATAACCGAAGTACTTTTATGAAGGGCATAAGGCATTCTTCAAAAAAGACTGTTTAGCTAACGCTATCGTAGGGCACAAGGTGGATTTAGTACAGTAAAACCTGCCGGCCACATCGCATTTTCATGACAATCCTGTGCCGATTGCACATTTCTGCGCTAGCATATAAGTAAGAATATGACAAACCAAATTAAGGTACATTACTATCCATGATTTGGCAACATCGCAACGAGATGGGGAGAATATGACAGTGACGGTGGTGTAGTGATGGGAATAGTTATCTGAAATAAAAGAAATGACTACTCAACAATAAACTATTTTCATCATTAACATAATGCAAAATTGCATTATTGCGATGAACAGTATCACCGTAACTTACAGTGTATGTTAGTCATATAATGTTGAACAATCTTTTGTATAAACAAGAAGAAAACAGATTATTAAGCAGTACCACAGTATTAGCGGCCAAAATACAACTTCGAAGTTCTGTAAAATAGCAAGCAGAGGGTTCCTTAAAGAAAAAATGATATTTTCTTGCAAGTTACATCTTAATCTTTCATTTTAAAATAAGAAATGAAATATTTGCGATATGCGCTAAAGCCTCCAGATCTGTTTGACAATCTATGAAAGCATGAGCTTTTAGATTCAGCGTAAGAAAATTTTCGGTCTGCTTATAATATAAAGAAAAGAACCCCTAACGTCCCTAACTTCAGAATGATTAAAATGACATTTGGACATGACACGTAGGTTGTCAAACGTTTTTTCGCAGTGAAAATTTCAAAGTATGTCAAAATTTCTGCCGTTCAATGGAAAATTTTATAACGCAAACAGTGAAATTCCTGTCCAGCACAGTGATAGTTCATATTTACTCGTTTCCTCATTTCGCAATTGAAACACTCCTGGCTTTCATCGTTTGCACGATCCATATTTTGCTCATCAATGAGGTGAACTATGTCTATCGAAGAACTAATGCTAAAGCTGCTGCAAAGTTGAGACTCAGACAGTACTCCATAAAGGAGTTGGAACCATGTTCGTATCACTCGATTGCTAAAGTCGAAACCTTGGTCTTCCCAGACATGTTTGAGAGCATTGCTCATCGTCAACACTCATACATGATACCTCCGTCACCTTACAAACGTCTAGGCAGAAGAACAAGCAACACGTCTCATTTTGGATGGGTGATATCTCGAAATATCTCTTCGGTATATGGTGGCACTTATTCTGACAGGATAGAACAACTGCTCGCCGTCTCGCCGAGCGAATATGTTAGGAAAGATAAAGAAAGAAAATACAGGGAAGCAGGTTTGAAAAACTGCATTCACTCGCTGACTTGCCTTTTAGAGAAAGCACTGGATGCAGGAGAGAATGGATTCACTTTGGACCAGCTGTCGAAAGAAGCTCTTAAAAGCAGCATAAAGACTATCAAAAGCGATTTCGAGAAAAACCTATCCGGGCTTAGAGACCCAATATCAAAAGTAGCTTCATGCAGGAGCATCTACAGCCTGATATCTCAGACTATGACGAAAAGCACACTTTTGAATGCTTTATCTCCTGAACTGAATCCAGATAACACCGCAGAAGAAAGAAGAACCGAAGAGGGTTTTAAATCTGACGAATCTCAGGATGGAAAGAAAAGTCTAGTGGGATCCCTAAGCGAACTTTTCGAAGACCGTATACCACAAAAAGATAATTTGATGGAGGCGAAAGCTCCTATTGCAATATGTAATGCCTGAAAAGTATTGTAAATACTTTGTTTTTGGTCTACAAAAAGATTGGTCGATTTTGCTTTTTACTTCTCGACATAGAATAAGAATTTCAATTGCGATTTTCGAAATGGGATTTTTTAATTTTTATTTTCCACGCAACTGGCGGGGAAGCATTGTATTCATGGAAAATTTCAAAAATGAGATATTGTGTTTTCTGGGTGTTATGAGATATGTACATTACCCATCTATAACTTCGAAATTACTGCTCGGATTCGGATGAAATTTTACATAAGGCGGGACAAACAAAAAAACCGAAAAAATCGTCTAAGCTTCGTTTTTTGGGGGATCATGATCATTCTAGAAAAATTTTGTAGGAGTTAAATATTGGAGGGAGGACGATTTTAAGTTGGTGGGAGAGGCTGTATCGCATTTTTTAGTATATTAATGCTCTTCGAGATATTTCAGACATTATAGGTTTGTCCGTAAAATTTCCCTTAAAACTTGGAAAAACGTTTTCAGCCGACGGGTCGCCTACCTATCGGTCGCACTTTAGGTGCGCAATGGGGTTGTAAATATAGCAACTTTGGTAGCATATCTGAGAGAGTTTCGTGATGTAATATCATATTATAGTGTATTATACAGGGTGGCGCATCGCAAACGAAACAGACGCATTTACTGGCAGCTCAGTTTTTTTTTTTGGAAAAACGCTCAGACCCGTCGATTTTGTTTTCGAGGAGGACACAAGTTTGGCAAAAAAACACTATCACACGTGCAGCCCCCTGGGCGGGGGTGACACCAACCCTAAAATCTTAAATGGAAAGGGGGGTCGAGTGATACCTTATTTTAAAGGTCTTTCAATTCTCTTTATAATAATATAAAATTAATGTACTTCAGTTCAGTGGTTTTGAAGATTTATTGATTTGAAGCTTAAAGCAGACTTTAATAGGTACATCAGATTAGTTTGTACTACTTTCAGAAGAAATTTGACTAAAAGAATTTACTTAATAAGTAAATGATTTACTTCACTACGTCCATGGTTTGTTTATCATTTTGTTGTTGAAAATAGCTATTGGAACGTTTCTTTGTGGCAAAAAGTTATTTCTTGAAGAAAGATAAGGAAATATCTCGTACTTATTTTAAATAGGAATTTAGTATATAGTTTGCGATTGATTTGACCAAACTTTGTTGCTAAAATAACCTGTAACGCTTTATTACATAAATTAACCATGGTATATTCCACAGCAGAAAGAGTTGAAATTATCGAAATATTTTTCGGAAATAATCAGTGTGCTAATTGAACAGCAGAAATATTTAATGAGCGACATGAGAACAGTAACGTGCATCGAAAATATGTTCTAGAACTTGTAGCTAAATTTCGGGAAACGGGGTCAGTCGCCAATAAAAAACGCAACATGAAAATCCCATAAGGAACGAAGCAATAGAAGTGGGGGTTTTAGAGTAAGTTTATCTAGGTCCTACGTTAAGTACCCGAAATTTGTGTGGTGTTAGTCGACGTACTGTCCAACGGATTCTGAAGGCCCATAGTTTTCATCCGTATAAAATTCACCTGGTACAAGAACTTAATGAAGACGATTTTGATCGGCGATTGCCATTTTGTGAAGATATGAGTGAACGAATTATAAACGATGAACATTTTCTATTCAACACTTGCTTTTCCGACGAATGTTCCTTTTTCTTAAATGGCGTAGTAAATCGTCAAAACTGCCGATATTGTTCCGATTCTAATCCCAGAATTTATCATGAGGTTCATAGATCAGACGTTTCCAGATAGATGGATTGGTAGAAGAGGTGCCATTGAATGGCCCCCAAGATCGCCAGATTTATCACCTTCGGATTTCTTTATGTGGGGTCATTTAGAAAGCAAAATCTATGCTACTCAGCCAACATCATTAGAAGACCTGCGACAAAGAATTGTGAATGAGTGCCTTCAAATTACTCCTCAATTATTGCAAAATGTGCGGCAACGTTTAGACCAAAATCTTTATTATTGCATGGTGAGCCATGGTGGCCATTTTCAACATTTACTTGCCTAACGGGTCAGTTCATTCTTCATTTTTAAATTACTCTGCTGCCAAATGTATTGATCTCAACTAATGCTGAAGTATTGGTTTTATTTAAGCTTTAAATCAATAAATCTTCAAAACTACTGAACTGAAGTACATTAGTTTTATATCATTATAAAGGGAATTGAAAGACCTTTAAAATAAGGTATCACTCGACCCCCCTTTCCATTTAAGATTTTGGGGGTGGTGTCACCCCCGCTTAGGGGGCTGCACGTGCTAACGTGATTTTTTGCCAAACTTGTGTCCCCCTAGAAAACAAAATCGACGGGTCTGAGCGTTTTTCAAAAAAAAAACTGAGCTGCCAGTAAATGCGTGTTTCGTTTTCGATGAGCCACCCTGTATATATATATATAAATATACAGTGCAATAATGACTCTGAAAGAACCTTTGTCTTTTTGATGTCATCGCACTACATAGAAAATTGTACTAGAAGCACGCTCCCGGGTTTCTTGCTTTTTAGCAATCATCAGTACTGTGTAGGTCTGGTCACTTGAAGACAAATGACGGAAAGCCCTTGTTTGTTTTGGTATAGATATACCAGGTGCTTAAAAATTTGACTCTCACCATTGGGAACTCGGAAACGGTAACAGATACGAAGTCTATTGCGCATTCAAGTCACTAAAAATGACATTCAGAAAATTTCGCAATTCCGAGTATTTCCGGAGAAAAAAAGTTTTCCCAAAATTGGTTATATTTTTCCTGGCTTTATTTGAGATGGGATTTCAATCAAAATAAAAAGTCCAATAACATTGCCACTGTTCCTCCTCTACACGACAGCTTAATATAACCCCCTCGTATAACTGGAACTCTGTGCAACACCCTCGTACATCAACCAGTATGCACAAACATCGCCTAGGCAACGAGAGTTACGCCGCCGTGTATCAAGTGTTCCGCACAGGTATTATGTAAAAAACCTATAAAACGTCAAAAAAAACATTAAATGTCATCTTGCAGACTGGGTAGTTTTTAGGGTGCAAACAGTCATTCCACGTTAGCTCACTAGGATCGTTATGAGCGTCCATCTATGGAGGAATGACCCAAATATCGCATTTTTGGTTGCATATGTTTTGTGAAGTCGAGTAATCTGTAATTTTCATATCTGAGGAGAAAGTTGGTTGAATAGCAAGATCGCATCTTGATGATTATGTGTATTACAGTATATTCAGATAAGAGATAGACCGGACATAAACAAGACCACGTGATCATCGAACGCTGTAACATTCAGCAGGGACGTATTAAGAGTCACGCAGTACATATTTTAGATAGTAGATGCTGCTTTGCGTAACTTTGTAGTAAATTAGCACAATTCGATGTGTATACGATTGGTGATGGATATAGGATCATGTGGGGGTGGGGTAAGAAATATATAATGATGTAAATATACATAAGGGTTTCAAAATTTTCGCTTCGATTTCCAGCTTCGGATGCCGTCTGATGTTTGGTGAAACACAGTCGAATATAATCTCAAAATGGCGTTTAAATTAGCCTAAACTAAAAAATAATCGTATATCTCTTAAAATTGCTTTTAGAATATTGATTAGTATATTTTTTGATTTCTAGGTAAATATGTAACCATATCAAAACGTTCAAAACGTAAAAAAATGTGCATGGTTGAACATTGTCAGAAAGTAGATTCTTGAATAGGTTTTGCCAAAATGGGTTCAAAAATGTCAATAATTAATTAAAAAATACAGTAGCTTTATAATTACTTATAACTTACCGAATTTGATGAACGACATCTTTTATTGGAAAGATGAGCTTGATGAGCTTTCATCATCGCTACTGCCTGAAGCACCAACGTCAATAATGAATGGCTCGACTTGTTCCTCTAAAATATTGTCCAGTTCCCACATTCTCTTTTCAACTTTGTCTTTCACGTGCTTAATACAGTTTTCCCATTTTTGCGCTGTTATTAATTCTAGTGCTTCTTTGAAAAGTCCTTTGAGGTCACAAAATTTAAAAGTTGTATTGTGCTTAGCTATATAATTTTTAACCTCTGCCCATATGAGCTCAATGGGATTGAGCTCGCAATGGTATGGAGGTAAACGGAGCACAGTTTTATTTTGACTTGCTGCCATTTCGTCAATGCCGTATTTTTGATATTCCGCCTTGTGATCCTTGACAATTCTTAATAATTGTACTTTCAGCATTGCTTCTTCAAAGTTGATATTTTTCGAGCGGAGCCAATTTTGAACATCAACTTTCCTTGAAGCCGTTGTTGGGACCTCCTCCATTCTTCGAGAATGATAAGGCGCATTATCCAACACAATTACTGCGTTTTCCTCTAAGTTCGGTAAAATTTTTGAAAACCACTGTTCAAACGATTCGCCATTCATTTCCTCGTGGTAATCTCCAGTTTTCTTAGACTCAAAGCACCACAGACCGTCAACAACAAATCCATCCTCACTGTCAATATGGCAGATAATGAGCCTTTTCCCTTTACCTGGAAATCGAAGTACTAACTGGTGTAGATTTATTTCAATAAGCGAACCTTTTTCAAATGTTTTCATCACATTCAGCGAAAAAACATTGAGACATGAGTATCAGATTGCTATAATTGGGATTATTTAGTCATATTGAAAGAAAGAATATTGAACGTCGTATGATTACTCAGCGCTTCACAATTTAATTTAAAGTTATAAACCTCTAAAAAATGAATGATCAGGAACCTGAAATACGCACAAATATTAATATTAACAAATTATAACTTTATAAAGCTTAAAGTATGAATTAAAATGATTAGAAATATTAGGAACGGTACACAATATAAAACTTAGTAACTTTTTTTAAGTTTATAATATTCGACATATTTTAAGATTATATTAAAAAATTATTGAAATATCGAAAACACATAAAAACATGGCTTAAAAAAGTTCTAACAAATGAAAATGACAATAAAACATCCACGCATTTTATCGAAAGTTATAAAAGTTTTGTTACTTG